GTATTTGTCGTAGAATTGATAATAACAGGGAAGTCCTTCAGTGTTGGCGATCGCCGCCCTCTTCAGTACCATTTCTTCACCGGTTATCAAATTAGTTTGAGTCAAGTCATAGAGTTGTCGGTCTGTCTTCCCATTCAAATCATTTGCCCCACTCTTCACGCACTCGATGTCATCCTTTAGATCGCAAACCACTGAAATTAACAATCAATTTATAAAGGGTTATAGTATTTGTACTATTTAATTATTTCATAAAATAGTGCAAAACATACCAAAAGTAAACGCCAAAGATATGACCACCAATTGAATCAAGCAATTCATTATTAAATTCAATGTTGTATTTGTTTTATTCACTAACTATAAAATTATAACTTATATATTGAATGATTGTATTGAATCATTACAACTGCTTATATACATGTTATACAACATAATTTTCAATTCATTATTTAAAATTTCCTAATTTATAAAACAACATGTTTTTCGGTTAAACGAATTAATCACTTCATTTATAAATAAAATTGTTTACGCATATAATTAAAAAAAACTCTAACATTACTTCCACATTACAAATGATAAATACATATCTGAAAGTGATATTTTATATTTTTAACCACAATTAATACAAGGATATGAAGAATGTGGTTTATAGGATGATGAGATTCCTCCCCTTTCCTTGCTCTCCGTGTATTAAATGTATTACGTATTAGAAAATTGTATTTGGTACTTTAAAGATTTTAAATGATTAATGTAGTTAATCGAAAAACATGTTAAACAGTAAATTAGAAAATTTTAAATAATGAATGGAAAATTATTTTGTATAACATGTATATAAGCAGTTGTAATAATTCAATACAATTATTCAATATATAAGTTATAATTTTTATTTAGTAAATAAAACAAATACAACATTGAACTTAATAATGAATTGCTTGATTCAATTGGTAGTCATATCCTTGGCGTTTACTTTTGGTATGTTTTGCACTATTTTATGAAATAATTAAATAGTACAAATACTATAACCCTTTATAAATTGATTGTTAATTTCAGTGGTTTGCGATCTAAAGGATGACATCGAGTGCG